TTCATTAAAAAACAGATTACAGAAAAAGATTTTACTTTAAACACCAACAAATAAGTAGGTTTCATGTCAGAATCTGAAATATGATTAGCCATATAAGTATCCCTGGATGTAATGTTTATTCGAGTTTTGATATTCCTGAACTTTCTATCACTTTTAGGATAAATAACAACTGTTTTGAAAGTTTTTTAGGAAACAAAGATCGCAGGCAGCATATGGAGGACCATTGCTGACACGTGTCCAGAGATGCATTGTGTTGTATTATTTTAAATAGAGTCAATATAGAATTTTTATTAAGATTTGGAATTCTATGCTCAAAAAAGAAGATAATGTAGATTCGAAATACCGGTAATTCACACATACCCATGTTTTTATACAATAACGTAGATACACTTTTCAGTTGAGTAGAGTAAACTGTTTAATGAGAAGAAAACATTAATTGATATTCAATATATATACTTTCATTTCTTCCTAATATTAAACATTTTCCTTGTAGTAAATATATTTAGCATATCAAAATCAAACCCTCATTATATAATATGATATGTTACACATTTATTTGAATCTTGATAAATTTTTGTTAAAGTGGGTCAAACTGCATGGTCAAGTTGAAGAGGTCAAATACGAGGGGCGTTCAATAAATAATGTCATCAGCTCGATGACACACAACATAGAAATCTTATGACATTAAGCTTGACTTTCTCTGATTATTGAATCTTTAATAAATTTATAACAGTTTATTTGACCACTTTTAATCGCATAATTTCATTGTGGGAAGCTGGAAAACAAGGGCTATTCGAGACAGCTTTAAAAATGAATGGTTAAGAATCAGTAAACTAGAGTTAAATTAAAGGTATCATTCAAGCTGGTGTAAAACTTGTTAATTTCCCCAAAATCTATTAACTGAAATATGTGAAATTTACAGCAACTTATGTCTGTTTCATACAAGCATGAACAGATGGATTTCAATTAACAAAAATTATATAATGGGCATCAAAATTGGGTACCCTCCTTGGCAACAGGTACATACAACAACCAATGTATATTAGCGATAATTAAACAAATTATCACTGATTTGTTTTTTTGACTTTCAGTTACATAGCAAATTTGATAGACATCATTTTGGGGGTAGTCCACACTGTTTTAAAGAAACATTTGATTGTAAAAAAAGTTTAATACTCAAAGGTCACCTTATATTTTCAAAAATGAGTGAAAACAAGAGCGTGTAGAAAATCTAAACAATTATGTTTAAAAAATAAAAAAAAAAATTGTTCTTATCCACGTTTTTCTGAAATTCAAACAGATCATGAAACTTGAATCCATTTTGAGTTAAACCCTCAAAACAAATTTAGAATAATATGTACTTGACAAAACGGCAAAGGCCTAAGAAGAGCAAAAATTTTCAAGAACACAAAAACAGTTTTATACGCTATTTTCTTAAATATAAGCGGTTTTGTTGTTCAATTTCATATATAGGGACGTAGTTCAGTTTCTGGAGGAGTCTAGGAAGCAAAATATTTGCCAAAACATTGAAAGGTTTATGAGAGGAAGGAAACAATGAGGAATTCACTACATTAAATTTCTTCCTGACAGCGTCCAAACCCACAGGCCATGAAGAGTAAACGAGTTTTGGGGTAAACAGAAAGTTAATGTTTTGTCACATCAACAATATTCGCCAGATTTTTCAGTCTTTGTCTTGTTTCATTTCCCAAACTTAGGAAAACACCTTTCAGAAAGAAAAAAATAAGTACAGCAAATCATAGGATCTGCCATTTTCCAGTATACGAAGGGTCATACTCAAAACTGTGTTCTAAAAACAATCAGAAATTGAATAAAAATGTTACGGAAATGTGTTTTAATTAAAAGAGAATATTTTAGTTGAACCATTATGACAAAATCATGGAAAAACGCTTTTTTGGTACTTTCCGAGCCCTGATGACATTATTTATTGAACGCCCCTCGTATGCTTGTGTACGAAGGAAGGTCGGGTAAAAAGGACTGCACATGTGAAATATGAAAACTGTAGCTTCACCCAATCAAATGTTATAGGCAAGGTTAATGTTTTTGTTGATAAACAGATAGACTTACAGTTTTAAAGACAAGCGGACAGGGCAGAGTTCCCCCCAAATCTTTGACAACATAAGCAGAAAAAGCATAATAGCTGCCTTCATTCAATTTTCGCTCATATAAATATATATGTGGTATTTTTCGAAATATAATATGATTTTCTATTATGATGAACGTTGAATAAGTACCATGGGTTAATACCCAGATACGTTTTGTGTGCATTGTCAATTACTTGACTGCAGATATTTTTAGAACCTGAGGATCAGTCTATACCTTAAACATAGGAGAGGGTGTACATAGGCCTTGCCTGTTGCCCAATCCTTATTGTATTACTCAATAAAAATATGTTTAAAGTATACCTTAATCATAAACACATTATGATACCTATGTTGTCCTACACTGCACCTCCAACAAGTTACTGTCGTCATAGACAATTTGTTATTACTGCAAGATCAATAACTCCCTGGCATTATTACGTAAAACAAGTTAGTACCAGCGCTTGTTGAGATCTTCAGTAAAATGGGGAAACGATAGAATAATCTTCCATGGTTGATATCAGAATTTTTTTCATTTTTAAAATACCTTTTTCGCTTATTTAGCGTAAGCATAAGGCTTAAGTCAAATTTTTTGTAGAGTGTTTAAGTAGTTTCAGATTTTAAACGTTGAAAAATGAAAGTTAAACAGAGAAAAAGGTTTCTGATTCTAGCGAATATTTGTATAAATGGAGCTGTGCTTATTGTCGAAAATGAAGACGATAAAGTGAGATCAAGTCTGTCTCTCTTTCTTTGTCAATGCTTAATGTTTACTACCAGAAACGTTACAATATATCGACACTGATTAGAAAAAATCATGCGAAAGTTGGAGGTGTGTTTGGATATTTTTTAAGGGTACATATTTAATTGTCGAAGTTTGGATAAGACACTGGTGTATCATCTTTTTTAAGAACTGTGGGTTTCGTTGAACTACAAGGGAACTCCGAAATAATGAGCAATCTTCACAACATCACACTTTAAGCAGTTCCGGATTTACTATGGACAGGGCTTCCGTAAAGGAGTTGTACACCACACGAGAAAAAAATAAATTAAATCGAAGAAAAAAAAATTTTTACAGTGAAATGTTCATCAATAATAATATTGACTTCAAAGAGGTCAAGAAAGTGCAGTGCATCAAATCGGCTGCAAATATATCATTTTAGCATTTGTAAGAATTTTCACAATGAATCCATAAGTAAAAAAATACATGTATAATGTATGGTAGTTATCTTTGTTAAATATTCAGTGTGATCAAACGAAGTGGGTAAATTAATGTATATAAGATATGGCATTCTCGCAAGCCAGAGGTCCTGAGTCAACACGTTGCTGTTGGTCCAACGGCAATATGTTGATTCAGAACCACTGGCTTGATTCAATAATTGAATTATTGAATTATTGAATCAAATTAAAGTGCATCTAGCATCAAAAATCCCTTATTCAGAATGTCTGAATGCTGACAAGAAAGGACGTGCAACATGCTGAGATCGTGGATCTTTGTCATGCATGTTATGTGATAACGCCGATGTTCTATCAAAATAGAATTGAAAATAAAATGTTGTGTCATTTGCAATTGTAAAAATTAATGTTTTCAAAATTTTTTTTATGTTTACTAAAGCCTTTTTTTCTAAACTCATTAATTCCTTCGCTATTTTAGGCACTGTTATTCATATCCGGAAATTTCTGACGTTTTGGTCCCATGTCTTGGGAAGCGATTCATGCAAACAATTTTTTATAAATTCTTATCATGATTTAAAAAAATGCTTGAGTTTTTGATTGACAATATCTATGTTGTTTTTGTTTTTGTTTTTGACCATGTCTTTCAACAATCTATTGGAATTCCCATCGGTACCAACTGCATCCAGTTATCAACAGACCTATTTTGCATTCATATGAAGCAGAATTTGTAGAAAATCTTAAACACGAAAAGAAGAAAACACTTTCTGTGGCCTTCAACTCAGATATTTTAGATATATCGACGACGTATTTTCAATTAACAATGATTATTGCCATTCTTATGTCGATAGGATATATCCCGGTGAGCCTGAGATAAAAGATACCACAGAGTCTGACACATATGTTTCATATTTCAATATTTTGTTTGAAAAAGACGTTAATGGTAATTTAACATCCAAGATTCATGATAAACGTGATGACTGTAACTTTTCAATCGTCAATTTCCCTTACTTATGGAGCGATATACCTTCATCACCTGCATATGGGCATTTGATCTCTCAGTTGATTCGATATGCAAGAGCATACCCTACTTATGTACAATTTCTTTTAAAACGAGGTAAATCGTTGACAAACAAGTATATGAAACAAGAATATCAGCTGAGTGGTTTAAAGTCATTACTGTATCAATTTTAGCGGGAAAAATATTTGGCGGACATTGAGTTTTGAGCAAGTTAGTCTAGATTTGATTTAACGGATTTCTAAATATACATGTTATGCTCTTATTAATGTACATATGTGAAAGACATTTAGCTTTGCACTTGAACGAACGGAAGCTTCTATGTGCCAAAAGCGCTTAAAAAATATTCAGCCAAATAATACATTTACAGTATTATGTAACTTCTATGGTCTATACAATGACCATTTAAGAAAAAAGAAATTTATTATTGAGTCAAATGATGACTGACGTTTTTCATACTAATTGTTGAGCCATTACATATAAACTGAATTTTCGACGGATTTTTCCGTTATTTCCCGATTATGACAAGGAGGACACGGTGGTTATGACTTGTCGGCAGGGGATGCACAATCCTCCACGGCACCTGATTCCACCTCTAATGATTTGGAGGTTCGTGTTTCCACTGCTCCTATTTTGTGCTGTTTAATGGACTTTCGAGCTTGAATATTGTTCGTTATCTAATCATATTTCATGCTTTAGTTTCTTTAAAATACCTTTTTGTTTTCTTTGTTGTATTCTGTGTTTTCTTTTATTGAAAGACCCCAGATGCTCGCTGTCTTCTGGCAGAGGTTCAATAAGTATCTCATAATCTTCCATGAATAAAGAACCCTCCTAAAATGATCAGATGATTATTGTCAAAATATTTTTAAGAATTAGAATATTGTGTGAATTATAGTTTTATCCAATTGATTCAATTATAAGATATCCTTTAACTGTGTATTATTGCGGACGACCAACATTCTTAAGCTTATCTGCTGAACTGTAATACTAAAGGAGCTCGCAGGATTAAATGCCAGCTAGTATTATTTGCAACCCACTAAGTCGTAGAGCTTAGAACTATATGTTCTTTTTTTCTAGTTTGACATATTTTTTTTAGGTTCTTCTAGAAGATACACATGGTTAAACGTTTTAAAGTATATATGTTTATTTAACATAATTCCAAGGAAATTTACAATATCTTCCGAAGCTAATGACAACCATATTATATCATATGTAACAAAATCTTTAACAGAATGTTTAATTTTTTCCATAAATCAGGTGGTTGTTATTCAAGATAGTGTGCAGAGTGACAGAAACACTTCGCAGATTTGCTCTTTTGTGTACGGGTTTATCCTATGACTTCCCTGTATTTGATAGGAGAACTAATAACCCAATAAACAAGGTGTTTAGTCATCAGTTTAGGTTCTATAATTATGTATGTTTTATGTATATCCATTTCTTGTAAATATACTAAGTATTTTTGTTATCTTTAATTACCAAGGGAAATTAAGAAGCAAGCAAAATAGAAAAAAATCTATCAGAACACTATCAGCTCGTAAAGACCGAATACTAAAGTAATATACGTATGTAAATTGTATTACTGACTGTGGTTTATTGTGATCAATACATAATAAAACAATTCCTTAAATGCCAAGATTCACATGATTCCAGTATAGTAGAAGGGGATGGCAAAAAGTTCTTGTGAAATAATTAACTGATGTTCTACACATAACGAGATTTCCCGTTTGGCAAGGTTATATGTAAGTAGAAAAACCATCTGTAATGTGATTTCTTACTGAGCCTTGTAGTATCCATTTTATGTTAAAAAGACCAAAACATGACTGCAGGTCTTTTTGAAACTTAGTCATTCTAATAAAGAAAAATAAATAAATGTGATTAAAGGGAAGACTTACTAATGTACAGCTTGTGTCACGTGAAGACAAACACTGTGTGGAAAAATATCCTCGGTCGTTAACCTCTTTGTAAAACTCTATGCCATGCTGAAACAAAAAAAAAGGACCTCCAGTATCGAAGAAGAATGTACATATTTAATTAAATTTGATGATCAATATTATCTTTTGCTTATTTTTTTCTTGACAGAACACTAAAACTTTTTTAACAGAAATGTGATGTGTGTAATGAAATATAGAGATAAAGAATGCTACTCAAGCTCCAAGTCCATCTAAACAATACAAAATGGAAGTATGGCAAACACATTTAAATCAACAATAATTTTCTTACTTCTTGGAAATTGATATTTATGGACTGAATTTCATCACCGTCAACTAAAACAACAGGCAGATTTTTCGCCATGAAGTCTGTAGGAGACGCTTTGGTCAGAATTAATATGATATCTTCCTTTAAGGCGTTGAACTCGATTCTAGCACCGTCCTTAGTAAGTGTCAAATCTAATACAACTTCCGAAGACTCCGTAATACCTGTCGAATACAGCAATGGGTGGCAAACACAAGATTGCTACAGAATTTCATGGCACAGCAGGATGATGACCCTATATAGGTCACTGCATGTGGCAGTATCTAAAGATTGATTATTATCGTAAATTCTAACTGCTAATCAAACATTAATTTCACAAGTATAATTTTGTTATTTAACAATTCTACGTTGTTTGAATTCTTGTTGACCGTCTATTCGAGAATTTTTTACTCATAAACCGAGACGCCATTACTTTTAATTTTCACTTTCAAATTTCAAACTGTATTTCGTTTTTGTGCTAGCACCTGCACGCGGGTCCTTGATTTTACTGTCTCTTTTGAAGGACCGGTCTCCACAACTTCCAGTGGATTCGAACCCGCAGCGTTACGAATACCCCTTTACATTGTACTCACTAACTCTAAAGAAAACTTTTTAACCACGCGGGTGACCATTCATTAAATATTAAACAAAGGGCAACATATTAAATTTGTTTAACGATGAATCTGTCTTACATTAAATATATGTTTTACATCATAATAACATCATTTTAACATTCTTAAGAAAATAGATGACATATTAAGTGTGTCTATTTCATTTTACAGACGTATACATCGGAGTTGATTTATGCTGATTAAGATATACAAACATATTCTCTGTGACGCATTCACAACAATGCAACAGACGTTATTTAATTCTTATATGCCGTTTCCATCAACAATTGTCAAGTCTTAAAGATCAACAAAGCACCGTAGCTAGAAATAGGACTACATAATGATGTTTATCCATCTATTTGCTGTTATCTATTTGTTGAAAGAATAAAACGAAGAAAACAGAAGACTTGTCAAAAATTAACAAAATTACCACGATGAGTTGAAAAACTTATTAAATTAATGACAACTTTAGAATACATAAACAAGATCTATGTATTTGTCTGGTCTGTACTGTAATTTATTTCGATTTTTTTTTGTGCGGAAAAAAAACTTCACAGCAAGAGAGATTTCAGTTACTATAGTTTTTTAAACATTTTCAAGCTCATACATGTGTTCATTTTACTTTTAGCAAGTAAAATAACTTTTTGATACTTTAAGGACTAACTTTAAAACAAGAAGGTGGTACTGTTGCTTATGAATAATTAGAATGAAACTAAGTTTCTAACTCATTAAATTGAAAACAAGTACATGCATGCTAGTAATTATTTTCTAAACTATTTAATTCATTTAAATTTGGAGGCATACATGAAATACTATACTTTGACAATCATTAGCCATCAAAAATATATGGTTAGAGAGTAAAAAATATCATACAATAAAATGTTACTAAAATATGAATATGCACGTCGAATAGTATATAGAACTACATCGATATATGTGATAATGCAAAAGTATGAGGTTAGGTGATTATACATGCATATATACTAAACTATAGGATATTCACCTTTAGATGTATAATTTTCTCTCTCACCGTGACTACGCTGGAAGAAAATAGAATGAAATCAGAAAATGTTTTGGTCAAGAAAAATTCATCAAAAGTGCCAAAGATCTTACAGTACCACAATGTTAGACAGAACAAAAAATGCAGATAGTGTAAAGATGGCCACCATGTTGAATATTCGGTGTTCTAACATGACCTGAGAGATAAGTTATTTCAGTACTTACACAGTTGGATTGTCTCTGAGATATAGATTATGTTACAATTCACTTCTTTTAATCAAAATACGTATGTAATATGCTCAAAAGTTCAGATCTTCTTATAATAGTACACTCATATAATATTTTAAAAATTTTACTTGTAAATACATACGAGTTATTCAGGATAAAAAAGTGTTTTTAACGAATGCCCCTCAACGGATTAAGTTTAACTCATTTACATGAAAGTTATATGTACGTATTTCCTTTGTTTTTCTAAATCTCATGGTATCCACGACAGAACTTAAAGAGTATTCTGTTAGAACAGAAGAGTTAGTATTCTGATTTTGTTCCAAAGGAAACCCTATTTTTAAAAAATGATAAACAATGACTAGAAATCTGGAGGTCAGTTTTTACTTTTAGAAGGAAAAACAAGATATGCCTGACTAGATTATTTTAAAAAGACAATGTTTTGAGCTACATGTTAAAATAAAAGTTTTCGAGTTGATGTTACAATGCATTTAAATGTGTAAGAGAGGGTATATATTTTAAAGATTAAAATTATGTTATAATGCACCAAAAATACAACTCCTCTTTAAGGTTATATGTGTTGTTTTTTCTTCAATAAATTAGAATAAGTCTATATTGTAAGAAAACGATTTGTGTCGGTGTGAAAACATAAATAAAACTAATAAGAGATTTTTTTCTGGTTACTGGACACTTAGATTTTTTTAATCTAGAAAAGGCTTTTCAATGACTTTGATATTTGTATTAAAATCTTTGATTTCCCTTTACATAACTGACAAATTATAATTTGTTGCATATTTACCTAAAATAAAATGCGATGAATTCACTTAAAGATAAACAAAAAAAAAATATTTCAAATGTTTTTTTTTCTTCTGCACGAAAAGAGTTTGTCTTCACACAAATTTAAATTTCCTTTTCTATATTAGTTAGAATTAAAATTCATACACTCAAATACACTCCTTCTCTCTCAATGTTGATACTTTATTTTGGGACAGATAACACTCTTAATTAAGAAAATGTTAAATAAAATCTAAGTAACTTTCTCATGTTTTTCCTCGTGACACTATATGAGTCATTGCTGAGAAACAAAAGAGAAAAAAAAATGCCGTGAAAATATATAATTAACACTTACGAATCGATGAACTAAAAGATGAAAAAACAATTATATAAAAGATAAAGATCCCAATATCTGCTAAACGCAATTTAGACGATCATAATTTATCACTCCTTGTGGGTTTCATCCACATTTTGAAGGTATATCTGGTTAAGACCTTTTAACACCCACAAATTCACAGTTTGCATCTAACATTGGATGAAATTACCTCACGCATGGGAAATAATAATAAAATCAAAGGTTAATCTTCACCATTTCAGAACAAAGAGGACAAGCTCCGAGCATCTGAACGAAGTTAAAGCGTATTAAGGTAAGGTTATTGTATATGCTTATATCTACTATACTTAAACATAAATGAATAACATATCATGAAATATAAGGAAGCATTCAACGAAATTTTTACTTTTAAAGAATGGAGATATTTGAGCTAAAGTGAAAAAAGATTCATTTTAGTTTAAACCATTTGTCATTCAAAAATTCATTTAAGTTATTTCTAGAGTCAGGACACAACCTTCAAATGGAAATTTATTTGTGCGTTTCTGAATTATTCCTTTGTTGCTGCAAAATACGATGCGTAACATTTATTTGAAATAAGATTAAGCAAAAATTACATTGACTTATGCATAGTTTATTCAAATAAAATATATGAAGATAACAGTATTCTTCAAAAAACCACTTAACAATACAAACTTGGGGCGGAGCAAACAAGGACCTCCAAAACATCAGAGGTGGGATCAGGTGCCATGGAGGAGTAAGCATCCTTTGCCGACCGGTCACACCCATCGTAAGCTCCTTGTCTTCATCGGGAAATAACGGAATAAATGTCGTCGACAATTAAATATGTAAATAACGGCCAAACTTAAATATGAAAAACGTCAGTCAGCATTTGACATAATGATAAATTCTATTTGTTGCTAGGTCATTGTATCGACCACAGAACTTACAAAATAAAGACTTTAAACGATACTGCAGCTTTTCCTGTCTCATAAACTTATTTGTCAATAATTTACCTAAATTTAGAAATTGTTCATAGGTAGAGCATGCTTTTGCGTATCGAATCAACTGAGAGATATAAACTTTTAATGCAGGTGATGAAGATTTATTGCTGCATTAGTAAAGGAAGTTGACGATTAAAAAGTTAAAGTCATCGCGTTTATCAAAAAGCTTTTTTTTTCATTTTTATTTTTACCTAAATACAAATACTTGTTTTCATTATCTATATGATATGGATATAAGCAACAGTGATCCAGTTGAAGGGCCAATTGAAACAATACAATCTCGGAGCAGAGCAGACGCAGAATTCTGAAAACATCAGAATGTTGATGAGATGTTGTACATGAGATAAAGTTTTATTGCATACTTGTTATTATTTAACGTCTTTGATGGAGTAAAATTTCAACATGTGACAACAATAAGTCAGATACTACAGTGAATTCATTTTGCGTTCATAAGGATATACATGTATCGCGACGACATCTGAATAAAAGTTTCTCAAACCATAAGTATTTAATGCTAATAAAAAAATCAAAATCTTATTAAAAATCTTGTACATTAAAAAACACTTCAGTTTAATGGACTTTTTAGCTCGAATACTTTTCGTTAGCTTTACATATTTCATTTTTAACCTTTTAACCCAACTTAAGATAAACTGACGACGTATTATCACTTATAATAGTTATTCCAATTCATTTATATGTCGACACGATGTATCTAAGCGAGCTTGAAATAAAACATACCGAAAAGTCGGACGCATCTGTTTCATACTTGGATATTTTATTTAAAAAGACGCTTATGCATGGTTACTTAACAATAAAGTTTTATGATAAAAGTGACAGCTTAAACTTTTCAATTGTCAACTTCCCTTACATATGCAACAATTTTCCATCATCGACTGCATACGGAATTTACATCTCTCAAATTATAAGATACGCAAGAGCATGCTCCTATGTAAGAACAATTTCTTAAACGAGGTAAGTTACTGATAAACAAGTTGATGAAAGAAGAATAACATCAGTCGTGTTTAAAGTAATTCTTTTTCGTAAGTTCTATGGACGATACATTGACCTTGTCAGTAAATACAATCCATAAGTCAAATGCTGACTGACGTTTTTTTTTAATACTAATTGCTAGGTCATTATAAACAAACTGAATTGTCAATAGCTTATTTCCCAATCATGACAAGGAGTACATGAAGGGTGTGACCGGTCAGCAAAGGTTGTTAACTCCAAAATGGCACCCAATTCAAACTCTGATGTTGTAGAGTTCATTCTTTGCTCTTCTCCTAATTTGTATAGTTTAAATAAATCTTAGAGCTTGAATATTGCTCGTTATCTCCATATATTTAATTAAATTAGAATAGCTTTATGTATCAAATTAAAAGTAAGAAAGTTTCTTTTATTAGTTAAATAATTTCTTAATTAATACAAAAAAGTGAAGATAAATAACAGTGATCAGTCTAAGAAAACCTGTAATAAGGGTATAAATCACGTGCCCCTAAAAATAGCCGGGATGGGATCAGTAGCTATTGGAGAAATAAGCATCCTCATCCTCTGTTGACCAGTCATTTTAAACATCCTCACGTGAAACAGACGTGGGAGACAAGGAAATTATATATCTTCTAAGTACATTATATGCTGTAATGTACATTTTTTATATGAAAATATACATGCACTTTTATTACTGACTCCAAATTACAGTCTTGGTTCAGTTAAATTAACACTGCACTTTTATTGCTGTGGCACAGTCGTAATTCAAAATATCAAAGACAAGATTAATTATTCGTCTATTTATGTTGCATTCTTATGTATACATTTACCTTGAAGATTATACCTTGTAAAAGGTGTCTTTTTAGAATCTGTTATAGAACCATTTTAGATTTTATTTTATGTAGCAATATTGAAGCAAACATGCAAAGAAGACTCTATCTAGGTTATCTGATAGAAAATGTACAAAATTCAATAGGTATTTTACTTAAATCTTAACCTGTCTATCAGAAATGTACAGGTATCTGACTTGAGAAAATTGTGAAGTTATATTCAAATACATTTTAGAGATCAAATGTATGTCAAATATTGGTATTTATTCCTGCTAAATAAAGAACTGATTACAGTGTATAGGACGTAGATAAGAGATATAGAAGACAGCGGTAAATTGAGAGAGGAATTGATTTTTGTCCGTTTATAAGTGACAGTTTGAAGCCACTTCTTTCCTCAGCAATTAATAGCCTGAGCAAGGCAGCATTATTAGAGACTCGGAGAGTTTCTCTTTCCGAAGACACCGCTTACATAAAATGGTTGTTCGGAATCAGTGGTCAAACGGTTCATAAACCTGGACTTAACATACTTTGATTTCACATTGATTTTCCTGACCATTGAACTGTTCGGTAAGTTTTTACGTACATTTATTTTTTTCAATAAATGTTAAATGAAATAAAATGATATATATTGTAAGCATATATTTCATAAAAGAGAAAATAGTGTTTATTCACAGGATACACAGTCTGTTTATATGTTGCTGATTTTAAATCGTTTGTTAAAGAAAGAAGCTTTCTAAATTTCATGAAGAAATAAATAATAAATAGCTCATGTGTATTATCAAAATCTTAATTTTCATGTTTATTTCAAACAAAAACATTTTAACATTTACTTCATTATTCATCAAGGACTTCGTTTACATTTACAGATTGTTTTGGAAATATTTCAGGTAACTCATTATCTAATGAGATATTTATTGTTTGACATTGCAAAGAAGCACGATACATTCTTTGTTTACAAATTACAAGTCCTGTGGTATGATTGAAAATCATATTTTTAAAAAAATCTAGTATGTTAGCATCTGACATATTTTT